CTAAACTGGGAAGGTGTCACCGACACCGGTGAGGACAGGGATTAGCCCAAAAGGAGCAGGGAGGGTGAGGGCAGGGCTGGGGACAGGGGTGTCAGTCCCCACCAGTTGTCCCATTTTGGGCTGGGATGGGGAGAATGAGCTGGAGGGGTTGGTGGAGAGGCTGCGAGGGAAAGGGATCAGTTTTTGGGGTGCTGGTGGGGTGTGTGGGCACACCCCGAGCCGGGAGGATCCCACTGCATCCCCCTCCGGAGGGAAGCTGGTGCCAGGAAGGTTTGGCTGGTGGTTCTTGCTGCTCCCGGCTGCCATCCCCTCTGTGGTGCCCCACACTGTCACCTCGGGGCGCAGGGGACGTGGCAGAGCTGGGACAGGCGGATCCTGGATCTGTCATCCTCTTCCATGGAGGCTCTGCCCGGTGTGTCCCCCTCTCCCAGGCATGTGCTGAGGGGGGCAAGTCTGGCCCCTTCCCCCAAAACACTCTGCCCAGGGATGGGGAGAAAGGAAAGGGGATCCACACGGTGCTGGCACAGGAGGATGAGGATCAGGTGATCCAGAACCATCCAGACCTTCTGTCTCCTGCCAGGCAGCAGGAGAGGCAGAGCTGCTGGAGCTGGGAAGATCAGGGAAGGATCCCACCAACATCTGTAGCACCAGCTGCAAAACCAGGAGCTTCTGGGGCGAGGGTCCTCTTCGCTGCCCACCCCAAGCAGGGGGTCTCGGCTCTTGGTGCTCCTCCTGAGCGGCAAATCCCATCCCGTGGAGAGCTCCGGGGTTCACCAACATCCTGCAAAGCCCCGAAGACCCTCAGCAGGGAGCAGCGAGGCGCCGGCGGCCTCCCGGGGACCCCGGCGGTGCCGTCGAGGAGGGGAAAGGCAGCAAGTTGTGTGGAGCTGGTACGTGACTGGAAGCCCTTCCCTCCTCCCCAGAACACAGATAGCCCAGAACGGGGATGGAAAGTGCCGTGTTTCCGTAGCAACCAACATTTTTCGTGCAAGGTGCTGCACGCACTCCCCGCGTTCTGCCACCCAAGGGTGCTCCCGGTGCTCCTCGGCTTCCTGCTCCGCGCCGGGAGGGTCCTGCCCAGCGGGGATGGCTGGGCCCGGGGGGCACAGCGGGTGCCCAGGACCTGGTGGGCTCCTTCCCTCCTCCTCTTCCTTGCCCACGGAAGGAGCCCAAAATGTTGGTGTGGCCTCGGGTGGCTCCTCGCCGTGGCATGTCCTGCCCACTGCCGGTATCTCCAGTGTCTTCCAGCGTGAGCCACTGGTGGAAATGGGCACAACCACCACCACCACCACTGCC